ACCGAGTCGAGAAAGAGAAAATATATTTGGTCGCCATCAGTGCCTTCAGTGGAGATTTTAAAACTAAAATACTCCGCTCTTCCTTTGACTTAACACCTCGCAAATCATCACAGGCATGAAGGGAATGTGTAGGAGAACATATTTCAGTGTTGTCTTGATCAGTCGGTATATTATCGTTCACGTATCGCTTATATGTCAGCACGTTTATATTGCATGTTTTTATATAATAATTGTATGTTCTCGCGTGATTAATTGTAGCCTAGTTGTTTCGTCGGATATGATGTTTCAATTAAGTCACGAATGCTGTTATTTTAGTGTGCGAGTTCTCTTGTAACAAAAGCAAGCACGTTTCGGTGGAGCTCTCCCACCGAGTGAAATAAACCTTCTAGATTGTAGTTGGAGTGTTTTGTCCGTTACTGGTACCTGCTACATCTTTACACAAGAAGAACAGCCGAACTTACAGCATCTACAAATACAGGATCGTATTCAGAAAACATTTCTCTATACTTTTCACTGACCGAGGGCGCCGGAAGAGATCGAAACATCCGTCATCTTGTCAGTATAAAAATACATGCGCAGTAGCGATTAGCTAAGAAGCTGACTAACCGTTGAGCATGCGCAGACAATTGTCCCTGGACCCTTGACGTGAGCGTAGCGTTGCGTGACAGAGAGGGGCCAGAACTGGACTAGGATACAGCAAGAGTGTACATATTGTCGTAGTTTCTTGTTTATAGTACTGCATGCTCCTACTGTTTTTATGTTTTTGCAGCATCTTCCAATAACATGCGAACTCTGAAGTTCAAAAGCCAACTAACGACTGCTTTTTCCACAGGCGTCAATCATAATTATGATGAGGAGGAAGAGGAAGAAGAGATTGTGGTGGAATCTGAAGAGGAGGTTGACGTGGGATTCTGAAGAGGAGATTGTAGTCGCATCTGAGGAGGGATCTGAGGAGGAGATTGACGTGGGATCTGAAGAAAAGATTGACGTGGGATCTGAAGAGGAGATTGACGTGGGATCTGAAGAGGAGATTGTAGTCGCATCTGAGGAGGAGATTGAGATTGCATCAGAACAGGAGAATGAAGTTGGAGCTGTGGAGGAATCAGAAGTTGTAGCTGAGGACAGTGAAACTGAAGACAAACTCATCATCTTCAAGTAAAGTTTGCTTATAACAAACTGAATTAACACCTTTCTTATTTAATTTTACCGATCTTAAAATTTACCATCTTTCTTTCTTTATTACTACACAGGACTCTTTCGACACTTTTTGTCCCATGCTAGTGACAAACTGAATTAACATCTTTCTTATTGCATTTCCTTTTCTCTGAAAATACTTACACATACTTACTTACACATACAAGTATGGACTCTAAGCCATATGGTGAATTCTAGCAAGTCTTCGCTGCCTATCTGTGTAGTGGATGTTTTCAGTCTTGAAAATGCGTTGACAAAAGGTCTCAAAGAACTAGTTACTTTTTTTGCCAAGTTTCACTTAGAGAATATTGCCTCCATTTAAATTATGAAACCTTTGAAATCTTGCTCATAATATTATTTTATTTCTTTACTTTCCATCGAGTATTATAGTGGGAATTTCCGTTTTGGCACTATTCTCAAAGCCTACCTTATTTTTCAGAGGAGCCGTAACCAGCGAAGGCGCCCACTGGGGTATCAAACAAGGGGCTGTGCACATGACATTCCCTCGTGATGCTGTATCTGAGCCCACCTCGATAGTGGTCCATAGATGGAAGTCCAGTGCCTGCTCACCTCAACTCCAAGAGCATGAAGCAATTGTCAGCGACGTGATTGAAGTTTCGACCGACAGTCAGGAAGCTCTGGAATTCAGTGCTGGCGTGAAGTTGGTACTCTCACACAGTGCTCCTAACCTACATGGGTACGAATTGGTGTTATTCAAGTTGACTGACAAGGAGCGCAATGAGTGGGAGGAAATTGCTGGAACCGAAGACTTTTGGAGTCTGTCAGGTTTGTGGACTCTCTTTTTATTTGGATACATGATGATATATGGAGGCACAGTGGTCAGTCAGATGGTCAGCGTGTTTCGGAGGTCGAGAGTTCAGGTCTGGCCTTTGTACTTGTGTCGTGTTTTTCGGTAAGACACAATTTTCCTCTTCTGCCAGGTGTACTGGCAAAGTGGAATTGGGGAAACCTGAAACAATGCCGGGAGTTTACCTGCGATGGACTAGTATTAATCCAGTGAGAGTAGCGATACGCCTAGTTCACGATTTAAGCTACGGAGTTAGGCCCCAGCACAGTTGAGCTATTTGGCTTCTCTTCGTAACCCAGGGATTCCAACAGGGAAACTAGAACTCAGGGATTTTGCTACCTAACCTTAATGGTAAGCCATACAAAGGGATAAAAACTCAATTTGCAATCACACTATGCCATAATTACCTTTTCCAACATGTTTATAACAGATATTGAAGAAGAATATCCCTCTGCCAAACATTTTCCTGCCTTTTACTTTCCTGTTGTGCAAGCTGAGATAACAGAATGCTCTACGTACGCAGTGGTCTCTCGTCTCAAGGTGTCCCCGTCTTACACCATTACATCTAACGGTGGCTCATTTTCCCTGCCTGACTATCCGAGTGTGAGTGTTACCATCCCCAAGAAGGCTGTTGCACTGAAGGCAAAGATTCCTCTGCAAATAAAGGTAGGCTTGCTTGCATGTGATTGTGGATTGGAAGGTATACATATCAACTTCTTTCGGTGCCCTATAATTTGCGTCATCTGCCTACCTGTTGGTCCATTTTTACATTTGCCAGCATCGAAGCTAGGATGTTGACACGGTGACAGTGAAAGTGTGTTAGCTGTCAAATTCAGAAATCCACCACATTTCAGGTGTTATGAATTTTCGGCCCAAGCTGAATATCAAAATTTAAAGAACTATCGGTAGTGACAACTCTTAGGATTGTTATATAATGCAATTTCTGCTTTGTCAATAAGAATTGGAAACTCTTCGATTACTTGAAAGAAAATTTGCACTTTCTTGAAAGTATGTTTGTTTTTGCCATTTTCTAGGTGCAAGAGGTTCCAGGTGAAGAATTTGATGGCAAAGATATATTAGTTGGACCGATTCTGCGAATCGTCTGCACCGAGGATGTCAAATTCGTGAAACCCGTTAGGATCCAGCTACCAGTTTCGTTGGGAGATAAGCAGCACCAGATTCCCGATCTGTCAGCATGCTGTGTTAGAGTGTTGTTTCTGAGGTCTGATGGTGAACAAAAAGAATGGGTTGAAATCACTGACGATCTGAAGAACCCGGCCAGTTTTGATGGGAAGATTGTCACATTCCACGTCGAGCGCGTTTGTGGGTATGTCAACTAATTGACTTCGTACGTGTATATATTACATTGACCGGTTACGCAAGACTAAGCATGATAATTTGGAATAATGCCTGAAGGAATTGTGAGTTGTTTTTTGCTTATGTTTTATAAAGAGTTCATATACAAAAGTCTTTCACATGGAAATTACGTTTCCTTGCACGGTCATTTTCAAATTAAGCATCCAAACATGCATTAGTGTTTTGTAAATCAAGTACTTTATGTTTTCAACTATCAAATCTAAAAAACATTTCACTCATATTCATTTATTGCAGATACATGTGTTTTATTGACTGGTGCAAGAACGACTTTAGTGTTGCTGGGGCTATTGAACGTCTAACGAGACTTATTTGGAACCAGCCACAGCTGGCGGTATTATTCGCTTATTTCCCTCCAGAAGAATGCCTTGATTCGCAAGCAATTTTGTTTCTCATTTGCTGCCCCGCTCACATGAGAGATCGGGTAGTAGACGAGATAGAACGAGGCAACATTAAGTCTCCAAGTGAATCAGATTCCATTATAAAGATGATACCGGGGCACGACAAGACCTATGTTTCTCTCTCAGGTGGGATTAGGGCTGTTGACGAAGATGACATGGATAAATTTCATCTCAGGTACGTTTGTACATGACAAAATTAATGTAAGGAACGAACATAAAGCGGTTTTCAATTGAGTGTAGTAAAACCCAAACCAAAGTAATCACTCTGGCCAATCACAACAGACGAAAGAAACACAAGGAACCAATCATAACTCGAAGGAAATACATGTAACCGACGCCAAGTGCGGGAAAACGTGTGTGACCAAGTCACGACTCACATTGGATTTAGTTTGGCATCAGATTGGTTAAGAAAGTGGCGCGAGTTTTTTGAACCAATCAAAGAGCGCAGTGACGAAAACCGAAGGAAACGCTTGTTTGCTTTCGACACTCAATTAAAAACCGCTCTATAGACAAATATATACAAAAAAACAAATATAAACACACAGATAAACATTATTTTTGTTACGCGTATAAATTTTCAATCACGCATGACAACAGCTAGCTTTCTTTAAACAGATGAAGGCTTAACAATTAGCCAAAACGTGTATAGCTCAACAACAACAACAACCACAACAACCACAACAACCACAAATTCAGTGTCAAACCTATTCAACAATTTGAACAATATAGACATGTCTTAAATCATCTTACACTGGCACTTAATCCGTACCGAAACGGTTTTTTTAGGCTCTAACTGGGGAGCACTGAAACATTGTTTACATTATATCATCATTTACGAAGTTTCCTCAATATATTTCGATCTATTTTTTAAATAGGTTTGAAAGTGAAATACACCGAAAACAACTTCCAGTTCGCGTAATCAGTGACAAGGGACTCCCTGGCGTGAAGTTTTACAACAGCCCCCCAAAAGACAAAGATCGGCATTTATTGTGTCACTTGAACTTGAGCTGGTCGTCTCTCAAAATAGATTTTAAGGTAAGGCTGATTCGTTAGAGGTACTCAGCTTTCTACATTTACTGCACAAAAGTAATGCAAACGAATTTCAATGACTTTCGTGCTTTGGTCGTTGAAATTTCCACGAAACATCGTCGGGAAGTTTGCATTACGTTTGCACAATGCTGTACACACAATGGCTTCTCGTAGTTTGTTATCATAGATCATCGGGCTTGATAGCTCAGTTGGCGAGAGCATTGCACCGGCATTGCAAGGTCATCGGTTTGAATCCCGTTCAAGCCTGAATCTTTTTTTTCAGGTTTCTCTTTACAACTGCCTAAGTTGTAAATATTTCACTGCGATGATCTGCCTTCGTAATAGTGTTTCTTCTGTTGCATTTCAATCTGTATGAGACTCCGGTGGAGTTTTTTGGTGTTCCTATAAGTGACAAAACACTTTTGGAAGCTGATCCTGAACTTAAAGCCTGCATGGTAATTGGATAATTTGAGACTTATCTGTTAGTTGAAGTTTGATTGAGATGCTATCACATGACATCCGAAGGCTTGGAGATCACATGCTCACCGCATATTGGTCTCCTGCCCTTTGTTGGCCTTGTTTGGTACCGGTTGCATAGCTGAGACATGCTTAATATATGGCTGTGTGAGATGCCTGATATTCCCATTAAGTGTCTTTAAGAATGACTTGCGGAAGCGCCGTGCTGTTTCATGTGATCTCCTAGCGTTCTGATGTCATGCGATATAATCTCACTCAAACTTCACCTTACAGGTATAAGTCTCGTCTAATTATCTTAAGTTCATTCATATTCTGACAAGCTTGGAATAGAACCTTCCAACAAATTCGCACAGTTTAAGTCTCCTCCTCTTTGATTTCCATGAAGGACAATGAAGTAGTAACGCAGCATCGAGGAGAAGTTTTCTGAAAGAATGCCAGCTTGCATACAAAACGTTTATTTATTTCATCGTCTTTTCAAATGTGAAACTAGAAATTTAGCTGACAGGCATTAGTATAAATGCATTGTCATTCTCTTGTAGGATTTGTCTCCTTGCACTACCATCGAAGTTGGAACATCGCAAGTTTCTCCAGCACAAGGAAATCTGTGGACGTCCGACACAGCATTGAGAGTTACCCTCTTGGCCAGTGAGTGGAGTTCGTCAAAGGGCGGCTTGTCAACGATAAACAGACAGCTTGCGATACTATTGGCCAAACACATGCAAGTAGAAGTCACTCTCTTAGTGCCAAAATGTGCCTGTTGTGAAGAAGATAAGAGGGCCGCTAGAAGTCACAATGTTGCCATTAGAGAAGCAGAGAGACGTCCAGGCTACGACTCCCTTGACTGGTTGATCTCCCCACCAAGAGACCTTGTCATTGACATCGTACTGGGTCATGGACAGAAGCTTGGTAAACAAGCTCAATTCATCAGAGAGTCGCACAATTGTAAGTGGGTGCAAATGGTGCATACTTCGCCTGAAGAACTCGGAATGCATAAAAACTACCCTGAAGCCATTTCCAAAGGTGAAGGGAAGTGTAGAACCGAAATAGACCTATGTAAATTGTCAGATCTTGTTGTGGCAGTTGGACCCAAGTTGATGGAGGCCTACTCTGCATACCTGCGCCCGTGCGAGAAACACAAAGACATAATTCAGCTGACGCCAGGCACATTCAGTGAATTTGCAGCCATAAAACAAGCAACAAACGATAGTGGCAAGTTTAGGGTGTTGACCTTTGGCCGGGGTGATCCTGAAGACTTCAAACTCAAAGGATATGACATTGCTGCTAAAGCAATAGTTGAACTGAGAGACCGCTCTTACTGTTTGATCTTTGTAGGCGCACCCGATGGAAAACAGGACGAAGTCGCCAAAACTTACTGCAGAGTGGAATCTCTGAAAATCAGCTGATTGTCAGAACGTTTGTGCAAAGCCAGGAAAGATTAAAAGAGTTGTTTTGCGAGGTTGATCTTGCCATCATGCCGTCCAGGACAGAGGGATTCGGATTGACTGCGCTGGAAGCCCTGTCTGCTGGTCTTCCCATTCTTGTGAGTGGTAACTCGGGATTTGCAGATGCATTGCGAGCTCTACCATTAGGCATGTCATGTGTGGTGGAATCCGACGACCCTAACGAGTGGGCCAATGCAATTATGGCTGTCCGTCAGAAGAACAGAACGGAGCGACTTGAAGAGATTCAAAGATTGCGGACATGTTACGAGGAGCACTACAGCTGGGAGAGACAGTGTGAAGCCTTGTTGAAAAGATGTGGAGTATTGTTCATGGTAAGACTTTTACTGAAACCCTTAGCTTCTTGTAATTGTCTTATTTCAATATCCTTCCTCAAATAATTCCTGGGTTTTTCTTGGCCTTTGTGTGTGTTATTTTCGAGGGAATTGCGGGCGACGGGTTGGGAGTTGGGTATCGGGAAATTTTCAAGTTGCAAATAAAAATACATTGTAGTTGTTTTTCAAATGAGATGTAAATTCCCTGGTCAATTGAAATCAAAAGTCTCTGAACCAAAATATATGAATTTCTAAACAAGCTCCGTAATAGTCACCAATCTCAGCATGAACATGAATTATTGTATATGTTAAGCTTTGTTGAAACACAGTGATATGATTCAGTTAGGGCATAAGGTACTCCGAAAAGGAATTCCGACATCTCCCAACAGGAGTCAATACTATGACCTGCCACACACTGGTCTTTCTCATTGTGATTGTCTAGGCTTGGCAAGCCTAGACAATCACAATTATAATTTCTGTCCATACATATTTTACATATCGATGAAACTAATTCTAGCAGCATTCATGACGTTTGTCACATTTGAACCTAGTTATCTGGCCCAAGCTCCCAAGAGTCTCCTGTAGCTCAGTGCTATAGAGCGTCCGTCCGGTGTGCGGAAGGTCATGGATTCGATTACTCTTGGAATTCTTATTCCGATTAATCAGATCGTTCTCATAGCGTAACAATAGCTGTCGTTTCCTTGAGTATCGAATCTGTTGTTTTGTTTTCCTTCAGGTTTGGTGTCCGTATACAGGATAGCTTAGTTTTGTGTATGTAGCTTAGTTTTCTGTGTGTTGTTGCATACAGTGTTTTCACAACATGACGTCATGCATAGCCGCCCCATTAGGGACACCAAGATGGCTGCCACGGCCTTTGTCATTTAATTCCCACAGGACTGAGTGAAAACGATATATAGTGCCATTTTGTTTAGTGTAATTCAATGTTGTAACATACAGTTGGAGGGGGATGTTACAGTTAGCCAAAAAATCCTTCCCAAATCCTAGGTTAGGGTTGGGGGGGGGGGGGGGGGGATTACTTAATAGTAATTATTTCAAGATTTGATTTAATTCTCCTTTTGTTAACAAACTAATTAAATGGAAAATTTATATCTGCAAAGTGCGAAATGGCCAAAGGGACTCTTTGATTATCTTTTTGATTAAGCTGAAGAAAAAGAAGAGACTGATGGAATCTGATGGAATCTGAAGAGGAGATTGTAGTCGGATCTGAGGAGATACTTGAAGTGAGATCTGAGGAGGAGATGGAGATGGAAGTTGGAGCTGAGGCCGCTGAAGCTGAAAATAGATGCCCCATCTTCAAGTAAATTTCAAATTTTACATGTGCATGTACATTCTGCATGACTTAAAGACTTCAAGAAACCCTACGTCTTATAGGGAATTCTAGCAAACCTCCGGCGCCTAACTGTGTAGTGGAAAAAAATTAGGGCTGCCTGCATTTACATTTACTGGCGGGATTAGGTAGGGCGGGATTTGGGCAGTTGATGAAGTTGATATGGCTAACTTTTATCTCAGGAATGTTTGTGCATAAAAAATAACGTCAGGTTTAGTCACGCGCATTAACCTCGCGCTACGTTTTCAAATCATGTGTAACATCAGTTTCCTTTCAACTGATGAATACGAATTAGCCGAAATGTCTTTAGCTCAACAACAAAAACAACAACAACAAAGAATCAGACCTATTCAACAATTTGACTAAACAATATAGAGTAAGAGCTTATACACTCATATCATCCGGACATGCTTTAAAACATCTTACTTTTGCTACACAGGTACCGAAAGTTGAAAACTGAACATCATTTCATCGTTTACAAGCTGTATATATCTCGATTTATTTTTTAAAACAGGTCTGATAAACGACACCTACTTCAAGTTTCAGTTGGCGTAATCAATGACAAAAGACTCTCTGGACTGAAATTTCACAGCAGCCATACCATATCGCTCTCAAGATAGATAAGGTAAGGCTGATTCATCAGAGCTACGCACGCTCTAGCTCTGTACATGGCTTTGCCGGAAGCCACACGAACACACGAACACTAAACTAACATCCTGCAAAAAACATTATGTTGGTAATGTTTCTTCTGTTGCATTTCCATCTGTAGAAGACCCCAGTGGAGTTTTTTGGTGTTCCTATAAGTGACCAAACACTCTTAGAAGCTGATTTCTGGGAGTTGGTAAACGATTCGTAGATTCAGAAACCTATGAAGACCAACATAACGGCCTTGCAAGTGGAAACAAGTCAATATTTGAGGTTTTGGCAGGACTGAAAAGTGAAGTTCAAGATGAGTGTTTTGAAGCACTTGTTAACGAACTGAAGGAGAGCTCAGAAGGAGGAACTGCGCATGTGGTATCACGTCTTCTTCAAGGTAATGTTATACAGTAGACCCCGCTTTATCGAACTATCAAAGGAAATGACCGACCTGTCTGTCAGTGCTCGTAGAGTCTGCTCTGTAGGTTTCTTCATAACATATTAGCAACCATACTCTTTGCAGTATTATGTCAGTGTTTCTTTTTTCTCTCATTCAGTGAACAAAACGGGCTCCTGTCAGCGAACATCATCACTTAATTAAGTCTCTTCCTTTAACAAAATTCATTAGAGTTTCAGTGTGCAGCATTGTTTCCTGCAGCAGTCATTCAGTCAACGCCCACCTGGTCAACGTCTTAATTACTACAGTTCGAGATATGTACTGGATGTTAATTAAAGCCAGTGGAAGCCACACTTTCGGGGGATTCGAGATAGCCAATAGTAAATGACTGAAACATATTAAGCAGAACCGAGGGAAACGATTTTCAGTTCTAATTTGCGGGGAGTTCGAGATAGCGGGGAGTTAATGATCGACTCATGTTCGCAGCTAGGGAATTTCCACAAAAATACATCGCGTTGTTGAGGCTTAGATCTAGATGACGCGTCCCGTGATGCCATTTGACTACTACCAAAATTCTCCAATTTCATGCCAATTAAGACACTTGTCATTTAAACCTCACTGAGATTAAAGAAATG